ATCAAGGTTAGGATCCTTGTATATATAAACACCCCCATGTACCCATTATTCCTTGAGTGAAATATTGCTAAATCAACCGTGCAGACAATTATCGTGTATGTGTATCTGTGTAAAGTATGAAGTCAAACATGGAGATAAAAATGTGAGATTATGATAGCACATTCCAATGCATAAAATTTTAAGTTGCATTGGGATGACGGGAGGTTTACATAGTTAAATTTTACAAAGAATTTTAGATGTTTTGCTTTTTTGATGATCCAATTATGGAAATTGAAACATTTGGGTAATGAAGAGAAGATTAGAAGATTTATTAGAGTTGTGGCTTTAATTTTTTATTTATATACTTCGTTTTATGAAGAAGACAAAGGAAAAATACGATTTATACAAGAAATTTGGAAATCTTTTGAATGGGAGGAATAATGGAGGGAGTTTATGGTTTTTTGCGCGGCCCACGGTAACACCCATCAGTCAAACAATGTTTATGTATTAGTCAAAAAAGTAATGCTGAATTTTTATCCCATTCAATTACTTTTAACTTTTAAGTTCCTACGGTTAGTTTTATAGAATACCAAAATGAAATGAGAAATGCTTGGTTTGGTATGTTCCATCAGCGTTAGTAGGGAAATAGGGAATCTCCTCCTTTGACGCCTTTTTTTGTGATTTCAACACATATTTTTTTTCTTTTTTTGAATGGAGAAGTTAATTTGAGTAGAAAAGAAGGAAAAGAAAATAAAAGTGAATAAGAAGGAGCCGTTGTCGCCAAAATTACCGGCGGTGGCGGTGGAAGCAAATAACTCTTTTAGGTCACTATGAGCTGTGGCTCCAATACCATGTTGAAATATTAGAATAATAATATTGCTCCTTGAGGTATGGAGTACATGATAGAGTATATATAAATGAGAGACTCTCAATACAACTAGAAATAGATAAGGGAAACTAACTTAAACAAAACATCTAGCTTACATAGGAATAGGAAGTTGACTAATAATCAAACACTACAATAACTAATACTATTATTATTGTCTAACAATGGGCATTGTCCGTCCGAAGTTCGACGCTAATAGATGGGTAAACAAGTCATTGGAATTATTATTGATTAATTAATCTGCACAAATAAGTTAAAATATAAAATTTATATCAAAATAATTAAGACTTCCTACATTTTTATTCTTATATAAGATTTTGACACTATTTAACTGTAAAATTTCGTGATCGTGAAACTGATGTGTTTTCCATTAAGAAATGTTCATGAATAGGAGTAAAAAAGTTTGAAAATACAGAAATAGGAGTCCTATGTCTGTTAAAACCAAAATAAGAGTATAATGGCAATGTAGTCTAAGAATACGCATTGGCAGTGTGATAGAAAAGTGATGACAGTGTAATATGTCAATGTGATCAGTCAACCGTCGATGATCTGTTGCGGCATTCTAGTGGTCAAAGGCGATGGATGGCAATGATCGTGTGACTGTTAAATTATGATAATGTGGTGAGCGTGACAGTGTAACTATGGCAGTGTGAACTCCTATTTTGGTCTTAAAAGAATTACGGCTTCTATTTTGGTATTTTCATAGTTTTTACTTCTATCTAGGGATTTCTCCCTTTTCCATGCATGAAAAGGGTTTATATACACAAAAAAATAAGCTAACGGGCCCAATATAACAGTCTAGTACACAAAAATATAAATAATTCATATATACACTAACACTCTTGCTCAATGCAAGTTGAAGCATGGATATCAAAAATGCCCAAATTGGATAATAAAGATTGAAATAAAGGACCAAGAAGTGCCTTGGTAAAGAGATTAGTTGTCTGTAGACATGTGGGTACGTAAGCGGTGACAACATGATTACGCTGAATATATTCACAAACGACATGACAATCAATGTCAATATGTTTTGAGCATTCATGAAAGACGGAATTGGCAGCAATAAACAAAGAAGATCTGTTGTCACAATACAATTTTGGAGTATCAACACAAGGAACATCGAATATAGTGAGTATCCTACGGAGCCAGCGTATCTCGGTGCATGCATTCGCCATTGTCCAATAATCAACCTCAGTGAAAGAACGAGAAACAGTGGTTTGCTTTTAATCAGCATGTGACAGACCGACGGGTAAAAGGACAATTGTCCAATCGGTGTGAGAAAAAGTGGTTAAAGCAAGATTACTATCCTTGCGTAAGAAAATACCCTGTCTAGGGTGCCGTTTGAGATAACGTAGCACCTGTAAAGCAGTGATCCAGTCGTGGAGCCTGCATGAAGTGAGATAAGACATGAATTGCATAACAGATATCAGGATGAGTAATAATCAAATATAGGAGGTGACTCACAAGACGGTGATACTTTGTAGGATCCCGAATCTCGGCACTAGTGGAACGGGCTAAGTTATGATTGGTGGGCAAGGGAGTATCAACTGGTTTACAACCAGACAAATTTGCTTCCTAAATGATATCCGGAGCATACTTCCGTTCATTCAAAACCATACTTGCCTGCGAACGAGCACATTCAATGCCTAGAAAATAAGAGACGGGCCCAAGATCTTTTAGATTAAAACAAGCATCTAAGTGCTTCTTAAAGGTGGAAAAAAGGGATGCATTATTCCCTATAACAAGAATGTCATCAACATATACTAACATAACCATAATACTCGGGCCCTGACGAAAGACAAAAAGAGTATGATCACCATGTGTCGGAAAAATACCATAACGCCATAATGCCACATGGAGTTTGGTAAACCAGTTACGAGGTGACTGATGAAGCCCGTATAGAGACTTGCGCAAATGACAAACTTTTTCGGGATATGACTGGTCATAGGCGGGAGAAAGATTCATATAAACTTCGTGGTGAAGATCCCTAAGGCATTACTAACATCTAATTGATCCACATGTCAACCTCTAGCAAGTGCAATAGATAATAAAACACGAACTGTGGCTAACTTAGCCACGGGAGCAGAAGTATTAGTAAAATCAACGCCAAACTCCAGGTGATTGCCCTATATAACTAACCGAGCTTTATCCCTCTCTTTGGTACCATCAGAGTGATATTTAGTCCTGTACACCACCCACTGACAACCTAGGGCTCTCTGATTCGAAGGAAGATCTGAAATATCCCATGTATGATTACACTTCAATACCATGTAAAATTTACCAATAATTTGACATTGCATGTTGGCATTTCAGAGTATTTATTGGCATTATGTTTTTGTATTACTCGATACTATAAGTCTTATTTTAGTATATAACAATATCAAAGGTTATATTTTTGTATATGTAAGCATTTTGTTTCTTGTTGGATATTTCTCCCTAATTAATAAAAAACTAGTTATGTATTAATACTAGGGAAATTTACATAAATAGAACTAAAACATAATGACTTTTCTTAAATAGCATCACATGTGTTTTTTTTCAATGTAGCACTTTTAGTAATTATTCGTTAGTCATTATTCAAGTAAATGTTCGTCATCACTGGACATTATGAATATTATGAAGTACGGAGTACTATTTAGAGAATAAAACAATGAGGAATTTACTTAAATAGCACTAAAACAAAATGACTTTTTCTAAATAGCACCACATGTGTTTCTTTTCCCAATGTAGCACTTTTAGTCATTATGCATTAGTCATTATTCAAGTAAATATTCGTCATTACTGGACATTATTAAGTGCTATTTAAGGAATAAAACAGTTTAAGTGCTATTTAGAGAAATGATTTAAGTTTTAGTGCTATTTAGTGCAAACATTTCTAAAAGAATTTAAGCATTATCCAGAGAAATAACTTAAGTTTTAGTGCTATTTAGTACAAATATTTTTAATACTAAATTCGGAAAAATTCTATGATAAAAAAGATGGATAGATTCAAAACTTGGGCTTATATGATTTTAGTCTCCACCCCAATCAAAAACACTTTTATTAAAACTTGGGCCTGACACTTTTAGAGTTTAGGCAACTCCAAATGGAAAGTACTCCATTTTTTTTCTCAATTTTTAATAGGCCCACCCAAAAGTGAAAATTACTCCGCACCCCCAACATGATTTACATTTATTACTCTCGTTCTTAAGTATTTGTTCAATTTTGATTTTTTCAGTTGAAATTGAAAAACTTTTACCACAAATTAAATGAAAATAGTATTAGATAGTGACACAAAAATAGTTTTATTAGATTTATTTAATAACATATTTTCCAAATATCATTTTATCTAATTATAGGTCAAATGTTAGAAATGTTTAGGTGGAGTATATCATATATATTTTATTTAATTATAGGTTAAATGTTTAGGTGAAGTATATCATATATATTTTATTTAATTATAGGTCAAATTGGAAATGTTTAACTAAAAAAAATTAAAATTGGATAAATATTCAGGGACAAATCCAACTCAATTAAACTTTTATTACTCCCTTCATCTTAATATAAGTGGCTTGTTTACTATTCACATGATCAAACTTTAATCATGTCATTTACCTATTTTTTCTACCTATTTGAGAAAATAATGTAGTCTTATCATATCTTATTTTGTAAAACTTTTTATACAATTTTTAAATATATAAATTTTATTTTTTATATTCATACTAATTTTCAAATATATATTGAAATGAATATAACTTCATCCAAACTTTGTAAACAACAACAGGAGATTTAAATTGAGACGAAGGTAGTATTAAAATTTAATTCTTGAAAAAGTTTAAGGCCTCTGAAAATAACATGTTTAATTAATTAGCTTAAACTAGTATTTTATTTATATGGAGCATTATTTTTTAATAATCCACATTAACTTTTAAAATGTTAAAACAAATTAAACACTTTTAATTTATTACACAACAAGCATTAACAAGACATGTTGAAGAATCCAATTCAACAAAAAAATACGGAGTAGCAATTTGTTTAACTCAGTACTTTTTTAATGACCTAATCATCCGCATTTAATAAAATAATTAGTGATGAGAAAAAAATGTATCCAATGAATTGAAAAAAATTCATAACTGATTAACAAACAATTTGACAGGTGCAGAGAGCTTGGTTTGTTCCAGTGTCAGAACAAAAACACCCATGAGGCAACGCACTTGCTGGCCAATGAAACCTCGCCAAATCTTGACAGCTAATGACACTGGCGCATGAGCCGGGCGTGTTGAAACTTGCTGGACAAAACTTGATGTCGCCACCTAAACCAAAAAAAAAAACAAAAAACAAAACGAAAAATAAAATAGTCAATCATCACTAGAATTCTTTTTATAATGTCCCTTGGTTCTCATGACATTGGGAACCAATGTCATTTCTAATATTATGGGATGACCCAAGAGTGCTCCGTTACCCCGTTCCTAAAATAGTCAGTACCTACTCCTTTACCCCCGGTAAACCCCCTACTCTGCCCCGACCCGAACACCCTCCTCACCACCTTCAATTGTACCTCCCAAGTTAATTTTGACTTTAGAGTCAAAATTTGACTCTAAAGTTAAAATTAACTTGGAGCGTGCAATTGAGGGGGGTGGAGGGTGCTTGCGGTCGGGGCATGATGGGGGAGTATACCGGGGGGTTAAAGGGGTAAGAACCGTCAATTTTACGAACGGGTCACCGGAGCACCTTCGGATCATCCCATGACATTGATTCCCAATGTCATGGGAATCGGCCCCTTTATAATGATGCATAGTATCATTTTGAAAACCGTGAAATTAAACATTAACGTTAAATGATCTTTTCAAAATGGCAGAAGACGTATTTTGTGGTCACCAGTAATTCAATAACCATAAATTTATGGATCTTAGTAAATTGAAATCTTGATTGTTGAAGGTTGAAATGAAGTAAACATGCATGTAAAACAATAATAATCATCATCATTTATATTAAATTGAAAAAGAAATAAACAATAATCATGTAGTTTGAAAAGATTTATACCTAGAGATGGGGGAAGTATGGCGAAAAACAATGCCAAGAAAATAATGGCAATTGGACCGTAATTCTTCATGGTCTTTGTTAATTTTATGATGCTACGATGGTGATGACTAATTTGAGGATGATAAATTGTTATATGTTCGTTGATCATTTGATATTATTCTTATATAGATATTGAAGAAACAAATATAGAAAAAAATTATTACTATAAAAAAGGGAATTAAGTAGGTTATTAGTGCTAAAATTAAAAAAAAAGTAGGCCACCTACCTATTTACCATACTAAAATAGCATATATATAGCTAGTGTGTTAATGAAATATAACGAATTTAGTTATATGATTAAAATATCAAAATATGTTATCTATTGATCTTCAAAAAAGGCAACATATATACAAGTACATAGTATCTCCCTTCTTGGGTATTTTTGATTTTTTGCAATTGATTATTTTTAATACTACTTAGAGGGTGTTTGGCAGTGCGCCGCTTTTAATAATTTAGCTTCTGCTTTGAGTGGAAATGATTTTATTCTGTTTGGCAAGTCAGCTTCTACTTTTCACTGCCACTGTTTTGTACACAGAACACCGTTTCAGAGAAGCAAGTATGAGATGTTTTTGCTTTCAGCTTTTGTGGAAATCACTTTATCCAAAAGTCAATCACTCCCAAACAAGCTCTTAATGTTAAATATATTGCTACTATATTTAATATTGTAATTATTGTCGTTACCTTAAGTGTATAGATTACCATTAGTATGTTTCCTACCCTAACTAGGAAACCCTCTTGTATATATACACATGTAATCTCCCTATTATGATCATTGAAAATTAATCATTCTTCATGGTATCAAAGCATTTATTCACCTTCTCATGCCTATAATTAAATGAATAGTGTTCGTATATTCATTAGATAAATAATTTTTGAAAATATTTTATAAAATAAAACTAATAAAAAATCATGTATCAACATATAATAATTTTACTTTTATTTAATTTGTGATCAAAGTTTGATTGAAAAAGAGTCAAATATAGATATAATACACAAGAACAGAGGGAATAATGAACATAAATTCTTATCATATACTCCGTTCTAAAGTGATTTTCATGTTACCAATTATAATGTTTGTGTTAAGGATATTTATGTTAATTATGTTAATAATATATCAAAGGGATCCGCATGATCTGGAGACTGGTGGAGCTGCGCACATCATGGAGAAATTATAGGAGTTTACTTTGTAAATATATGCACTGCTTTAGTTTACCTTAGATAGACTTTTGCCTTGTATAGGTTACTGCCATATATATATATGGCATCTTTGTAATCCGATGACACACAAGAAAATACACAAAACAATTCCTTTCATATTATTTCAATCTTAACATGGTATCGGAGCCAATTTTAGCCCACCTCGTTGGTCAAGGTGTCCGTCTAGACGTTCATTTCTAGCGGCCCGTTAGTCTTTAGCCCAGTTGTCCGTATGGAGGTTGTACCCCACGGGGTGTGGCTTGTTTAACACGATTGCTCGTTTGGAAGTCCATACCCAGCGGCTCGTGGTCCTTTAGGTGTTGGCGCTCAAAAAAATGGTCAAGGAAATGGGAGTTCATTTGCAAGTGGTCAACCGGTTACAAAATGGCCCGGTTGTCCACTTGAGTGGGAGTGTTAGAGTACATCCCATATCGGAAATCCAAGAGTAAAATAATCGATATATATGCTCTAGAGTTAAACTAACTAATCGATTGGATTCAATCTTTTAATACAGTTTAACCCAAGTGTCTTATTGCCCAATCTAGTAATCCTTACCCATCTTAAATTACCCATCTTAAATTCTATCATGGTATCAGAGCTTATTTGAACCAAAATTGTTCGCTGCTTCGTAGATCAGTTTTTGCTGAGGAATCGCAGGCTAATCATGACTTCCGTAAGCAATCCAAGACGAACAAAAAAAAAGCTGTCGACGATGTTCCGCAGCGACGTACAATCTCTCCATATGATCTCCATGCAAATGACAATCCCGGATTGATCATCACGCAAGTTGTCCTGAAAGGTGAAAATTATGAAGAGTAGGCGCGTGCTATTTGCACCGCTCTCCGGGCCCATAAAAAGTTTGGGTTCGTTGATGGTTCCATTCTGCAACCATCGGAGGACTCTGGTGACCTCGAAGATTGGTGGACGAACAATTCTTTGATCGTCTCGTGGATACGAAACACGATCGAATCGTCTCTTCGAACTACTATCTCGCACATGGAAATGGCTGGAGAATTGTGGGAAGATATCAAGGCACAATTCTCGGTGGTGAATGGACCTCGCATTCAATAAATCAAATGTGAGCTGACGTTGTGTGATCAACATGGTTTGAGCATCGCCTCATATTATGGAAAGCTAAAGAAATTATGGGATGATCTCAATGATATTGACCCGTATCCGGTTTGCACGTGTGGCAAGTGCACATGTAATATCGCGCAACAATTGGAAAAACAGCATGACGAAGAAAAGGTTCATCAATTTTTGATGGGCTTAGACGATGCCGTTTTTGGACACCTTCGCTCCACACTTTTATCTCAAGAACCCTTTCCTACAACAGCCCGAGTTTATCGTGTCTTGACGCAAGAAGAAACTGCTCGTGCTACTCATGTTCGTGAGCGACTAGAGAATGCAGCTTTCGCTGCAAAGTTGGTGTCCTCTAATGGTCCTCGTGAAAGGTTCGTAACATGTGGTTATTGCAAAAAGACCAGGCATGATAAGGATTCTTGTTTTCAGTTACACGGGTATCTTGAGGGTTGGGGCACACGCGGTCGTGGAGGAGGAGGCCGTGGTCGCGGCCGTGGTCGTGCATCCAACTCTGGTCGTGGACCAGTAGCGTCACCTCGGGCAGCACATGCAGCAGTTGCTGTTGTGAACAGTACACATGATCCAAATTTCAGTGATATAGCTCTTTCTCTCGATCACGGCAGATCAGTGGGAAACTTTCCGTGCTTTGCTCGCCTCGGCTAAAGAAGGTGTGTCGGAAAGATTGGCAGGTATACCCTTTACTAAAACCTGGATAATTGATACAGGAGCAACACATCATATGACGGGAGACCTTCAAAGTCTCTTTGATACGCATCCTATTCCGGGGTGTTGGATTTGATTACCCGACGACAAACGGGTTGCGGCTAAGACCACAGGATGCGTACGGTTGAATGATTCTGTAACCTTGAATAATGTGTTGTTTGTGCCTGATTTGAGTTGTGCATTGATCTCTGTCTCTCAACTAATAACATAGACTAACTGTTTGGTTCAATTTGATAGGACATTATGTTTTTACAAGACCGTGCAACGAAGCAAGTGATTGGTGCGGGTAGGTGTTGCGACGGGTTGTATTTTTTTAGCACACAATGGCCAATCATGCAATGTCTGTGACAAATGAGTGCTCGTTTGACATTTGGCACCGATGTTTGGGTCATCCCTCTGCCAAAGTTCTATAATAGTAAAACTAGTACTCCCTCCGTCCCGTTATATTCGTCCATTTTTGACTTTTGGAACTGTTCATCTAAGCACTTTGACTCATCAAATTCTCTCAATGTGTAAGCCTAAATATAGTCATGTGTGATCTTGTTTGATTTGTCTTAACATATAGATTATTAATATATAATTTCTATAATTTTTTAATATACAAATTACAAGATAAAATGGATTAAAAAAGTGTATTGGATGGTGTGTAAAAATGAAAGTGGACAAATACTCTCGGACGGAGGGAGTATTTTGAATAGAGAACCTTGTTCCATTTGTTTACGGGCCAAACAGTCCCGGACTAGTTTTCCGCTGAGTAAAAATTAAACAACACATTTGTTTCAGCTTGTTCATATTGATGTTTGGGGTCCCTATCGAACATCGAGTATGGAAGGTTTTAAGTCTTTCCTTACCATTGTCGATGATTTTTCTCGTGGCACTTGGGTATATCTGTTGCGTGCTAAATCTGAGGTTCCTATGGTTTTCCGTCAGTTTTGTGCTATGGTTACTCATCAGTTTGATGCTAAAATAAAAACGGTCCATAGTGACAATGGCACAGAATTTGAGTGCCTTGATTCATATTCTCATGAGCAAGGAATTTTACATGAATGTTCGTGTAGGGCCACACCTTAGCAAAATGGACGTGTCGAGCGTAAACATCAACATATTTTAAATGTTGCTCGCGCTCTTCGTTTTCAAGGATTCCTGCCGATTGAATTTTGGGGTGAATGTATTCTTGCTGCAGCGCATCTCATCAATCGCACTCCATCTGTGCTACTAAATTGCAAAACACCCTACGAGATCATGTTTGGTAGTGCACCCATGATGTCTCATATCTGGGTGCTTGGTTGTCTTTGTTACATCCATAATCAAGATCGTCACGGTGACAAGTTCTCGTCTCGTAGCCAATCGGGAGTTTTTATTGGCTACCCTTTTGGCAAGAAAGGGTGGCGTGTATATTGTCGTGGAACCGGCAAATTTATTGTATCTCGTGATGTCATTTTCTGTGAAGATGTTTTTCCTATTCAGGAGACCAAGCACGCCCCTCCTTCCGCTAATGTCCCGGAATTGTCTTATGTTGATGAAGATGATATTATTCATCCTCATAATTTGGCTAAGGAAACAACAACAAGCTTTGAAACTCCCTCCAATAGTGGTTCGGCCCCTATTACTACCTCTTCAAAGGAGGGGCCCATAGATGATTCTTCACAGGGGTCTGCTCCTCTCATTTTCCCTGCCATGGACAGTCCTCCATTTCTCACGGACAGTCCATCTACTGCACAGAGGGAGAGCACGATGTCTTCTCCAGTGACAGCCCAATCCGCAACCCCAACTGAGACAGACCTGCTGGGCGACGGACATCGTCTAAAAACTGGTAATGTGCGGCTTCAAGATTACTACACGTACACAGTGGCTAAAGAGGATGTGCCATGTCAGTATCCATTGAGTGGCTTTCTCAGCTACACCCGATTTTCTCCTCATCACATGAGTTTTTTTAGCTACACTGGATGCCGACTCTGAACCATGGTCCTATAACGAGGTGGTCCAGTCTCCATCGTGGAACAAAGCAATGGCAGAAGAAATAACAACTTTAGAGAACAATGACACATGGACGTTGGTTCCTTTGCCCCGTCACAAAAAGGCTTTGGGGTGCAAGTGGGTTTATTGTATTAAACCGAAGTCTGATGGATCGATTGAACGGTATAAGGTCCGACTAGTGATTCTTGGGAACAGACAAGTGGAAGGCATCGATTATAAGGAGACTTTTGCTCCTGTGGTTAAACTCACCATCAGCCGTGTACTCTTGGTGGTGACTGCCGCACGACATTGGGAGTTGCACCAGATGGATGTCCACAACGCCTTTCTTCATGGCGATCTCTCTGATGAGGTCTACATGAAACTCCCACCCGGGTTTCATCCTCACACTCAGGGCATGGTTTGTAAGCTTCAGAAATCTTTATATGGTTTGAAACAAGTTCCTTATTGTTGGTTTGCCAAACTTTCCGGAGCTCTACGACGGTATGGTTTTCACCAATTCTATTCCGATTACTCTCTTTTGTCATATACACGTTCGGGTTCCGCTATGCATGTTTTGATTTATGTCGATGACTTAGTCATTACTGGCGATTATTCTCTTGAAATTGCCCGCTTCAAAAAGTTTTGGGTGTTTTGAAGTATTTCCTTGGTGTGGAAGTGGCTCGAAACTCCACCAGGATTTTTCTTATTCAGCGAAAGCATGCACTAGACATTATTGCAGACACAGGCTTACCTGGCAGCCGTCCGTTGGGTTCTCCCATGGAACAAAATCACAAGCTTGCTCTCTCTTCTAGCCTGCTCTTCGATGCCCCAAGTGCCTATCGTCGCCTGGTTGGCCGCTTGGTGTACTTGTCTGTTACTCATCCAGATCTCTCTTATGCGGTACATACTTTGGCTCAATTTCTCCAGGAACCAAGAACCGATCACTAGAATGCCGCATTGGGGGTTGTTCGTTATCTTAAAGGCACTCCCGGTCATGGTATTCTTTTACGTAGCGACAGCTCTCTTGAGTTGACTAGATGGTGCGATTCGGATTGGGCTGCTTGTCCCCTAACTCGTCGCTCTCTTACTGGTTGGTTTGTTCAGCTAGGAGTCTCTCCTATTTCTTGGAAAACCAAGAAACAACCAATGGTGGCTCGTTAATCTGATGAGGCTGAATACTGTTCCATGGCGGTTCTTACATGTGAGCTTAACTGGCTAAGGGGGCTGCTGCATTCTCTCGACATTCATTCTTAAGTGTTAGAGGAGCCGGACCGCCGCCAGGGTTAGGAGGAGCTCCAGCGTGGAGGTTTAGGGGAGCAGGACCACCACGCAAGTTGTAAGCCCGGGCGCGGTTGTAAGCAAGAGCATCGGCGCGGTTGTAAGCCGGAGCACTGCTGTTCTAAGACAGAGTGCCGCCGCCGTGGTATCCAGGATGGCCAGTTTAGTTGTAGGAGGGTACTCCGCCGCAATTGTATACTGGAGCGCCACTCTGGTTGTATGCGCCGCACTGGTTGGATGCGCTGCCTCGGTGATATAGAGGAGCGCCGCCGCCCTGATTGTATGCGACGCCGCGGTTGGATCCTCCTCCGCTGCCCTAGTTGTATGCGCCGCCGCGGTGGTAAACCGGATTGCCGCCGTGGTTGGATCCTCCTCCGCCGCCCTGGTTGAATGCGCCGCCGCGATGGTAAACCAGATCGCCGCCGCTGATGGATCCTCCTCCGCCGCTCTGGTTGTATGCGCCGCCGCGGTGGCGAACCAGATCGCCGCCCCGGTTGGATCATCCTCCGCCACCCTGGTTGGATGTGCCGCCGTGGTGGTAAACCGTGTCGCCGCCCCGGTTGGATCCTCCTCCGCCACCTTCATTAGATCCTCCTCCGCCGGCGCGATCTAGTCCTCAGCGGTATAGATCTCTTCCTCCGTCGCCGCGATCTGGTTTGCGGCAGTAAAACTCCTCTCCATCACCCCCTCCGCCGCCGCCGCGAGGACCTTGATTCCACCGGCGATTATTCCCTAGAAATCCTTGTTAAGGATATTTATGTTAATTATGTTAATAATATATCAAAGGGATCCGCATAATTTGGAGACTGGTGGAGTTGCGCACATCATGGAGAAATTATAGGAGTTTACTTTGTAAATATATGCACTGCTTTGGTTTACCTTAGATAGACTTTTGCCTTGTATAGCTTACTGCCATATATATATGGCATCTTTGTAATCCGATTACACACAAGAAAATACACAAAACAATCCCTTTCATATTATTTCAATCTTAACATGGTATCGGAGCTTATTTGATCCAAAATTAATCGCTTCTTCGTCAATCAGTTTTTGCTGAGGAATCGCAAGCTAATCATGACTTCCGACGAGCAATCCAAGACGAACAAAAACAAAGCTGCCGACGATGTTCCGCAGCCACGTACAATCTCTCCATATGATCTCCATGCAAATGACAATCCTGGATTGATCATCACGCAAGTTGTCCTGAAAGGTGAAAATTATGAAGAGTGCGCGCGTGCTATTCGCACCGCTCTCCGGGCTCGCAAAAAAGTTGGGTTCGTTGATGGTTCCATTCCGCAACCATCGGAGGACTCTAGTGACCTCGAAGATTGGTGGACGAACAATTCTTTGATCGTCTCGTGGATACGAAACACGGTTGAATCGTCTCTTCGAACTACTATCTCGCACATGGAAATGGCTGGAGAATTGTGGGAAGATATCAAGGCACAATTCTCGGTGGTGAATGGACCTCGCATTCAACAAATCAAACGTGAGCTGACGTTGTGTGATCAACATGGTTTGAGCATCGCCTCATATTATGGAAAGCTAAAGAAATTATGGGACGATCTCAATGATATTGACCCGTATCCTGTTTGCACGTGTGACAAGTGCACGTGTAATATCGCGCAACAATTGGAAAAACGGCGTGACGAAGAAAGGTTCATCAATTTTTGATGGGCTTAGACGATGCTGTTTTTGGACACCTTCGCTCCACGTTTTTATCTCAAGAATCCTTTCCTACAATAGCCCGACTTTATCGTGTCTTGACGCAAGAAGAAATTACTCATGCTACTCATGTTCGTGAGCGACCAGAGAATGCAGCTTTTGCTACAAAGTTGGTGTCCTCTGATGGTCCTCGTGAAAGTTTCGTAACATGTGGTTATTGCAAAAAGCCCGGGCATGATAAGGATTCCAATTTTCAGTTACACGGGTATCCTAAGGGTTGGGGCACACGTGGTCGTGGAGGAGGAGGCCGTGGGCGCAGCCGTGGTTGTGCATCCAACTCCGGTCATGGACCAGTAGCGTCACCTCGGGTAGCACATGCGACAGTTGCTTCTGTGAACAGTACACAGGATCCAAATTTCAGTGATACAGCTCCCTCTCTCACGGCAGATCAGTGGGAAACTTTTCGTGCTTTGCTCGCCTCGGCTAAAGAAGATGTGTCGGAAAGATTGGCAGGTATACCCTTTACTAAAATCTGGATAATTGATACAGGAGCAACACATCATATACGGGATACCTTCAAAGTCTCTTTGATATGCATCCTATTTCGGGGTGTTGGATTCGATTACCCGACGGCAAACGGGTTGCGGCTAAGACCGCTGAACGCGTACGGTTGAATGATTCTGTAACCTTGAATTATGTGTTGCTTGTGCCTGATTTTAGTTGTGCATTGATCTCTGTCTCTAAACTAATAACGGAGACTAACTGCTTGGTTCAATTCGATGGGACATTGTGTGTTTTACAAGACCGTGCAATGAAGCAGGTGATTGGTGCGGGTAGGTGCTGCGACGGGTTGTATTTTTTTCAGCACACAATGGCTGGTCATGCAATGTCTGTGACAAATGAGTGCTCGTTTGACATTTGGCACCGATGTTTGGGTCATCCCTCTGCCAAAGTTCTATAATAGTAAAACTAGTACTCCCTCCGTCCCGTTATATTCGTCCATTTTTTACTTTTGGAACTGTTCATCTAAGCACTTTGACTCATCAAATTCTCTCAATGTGTAAGCCTAAATATAGTCATGTGTGATCTTGTTTGATTTGTCTTAACATATAGATTATTAATATATAATTTCTATAATTTTTTAATATACAAATTACAAGATAAAATAGATTAAAGAAGTGTATTGGATGGTGTGTAAAAATGAAAGTGGACAAATACTCTCGGACGGAGGGAGTATTTTGAATAGAGAACCTTGTTCCATTTGTTTACGGGCCAAACAGTCCCGGACTAGTTTTCCGCTGAGTAAAAATTAAACAACACATTTGTTTCAGCTTGTTCATATTGTTGTTTGGAGTCCCTATCGAACATCGAGTATGGAAGGTTTTAAGTCTTTCCTTACCATTGTCGATGATTTTTCTCGTGGCACTTGGGTATATTTGTTGCGTGCTAAATCTGAGGTTCCTATGGTTTTTGTGCTATGGTTACTCATCAGTTTGATGCTAAAATAAAAACGGTCCATAGTGACAATGGCACAGAATTTGAGTGCCTTGATTCATATTCTCGTGAGCAAGGAATTTTACATGAATGTTCGTGTAGGGCCACACCTTAGCAAAATGGACATGTCGAGCGTAAACATCAACATATTTTAAATGTTGCTCACGCTCTTCGTTTTCAAGGATTCCTGCCGATTGAATTTTGGGGTGAATGTATTCTTGCTGCAGCGCATCTCATCAATCGCACTCCATCTGTGCTACTAAATTGCAAAACACCCTACGAGATCATGTTTGGTAGTGCACCCATGATGTCTCACATCCGAGTACTTCGTTGTCTTTGTTACATCCATAATCAAGATCGTCACGGTGACAAGTTCTCGTCTCGTAGCCAATCTGGAGTTTTTATTGGCTACCCTTTTGGCAAGAAAGGGTGGCGTGTATATTGTCGTGACACCGGCAAATTTATTGTATCTTGTGATGTCATTTTTTGTGAAGTTGTTTTTCCTTTTTAGGAGACCAAGCACGCCCTTCCTTCCGCTAATGTCCCGGAATTGTCTTATGTTGATGAAGACGATATTATTCATCCTCATAATTTGGCTAGGGAAACAAAGCAGTGCATATATTTACAAAGTAAACTCCTATAATTTCTCCATGATGTGCGCAGCTCCACGAGTCTCCAAATCATGCGGATCCCTTTGATATATTATTACCATAATTAACATAAATATCCTTAACAACGATTTCCAGGGAATAATCGCCGGTGGAATCAAGGTCCTCGCGGCGGCGGCGGAGGGGGTGATCGAGAGGAGTTTTACCGCCACCATCTAGATCGCGGCGGTGGAGGAAGAGATCTATACCGCCGAGGACTAGATCGCGCCGGTGGAGGAGGATCCAACCAAGGCGGCGACCCGGTTTACCACCGCGGCGGCGCATACAACCAGGGTGGCAACGGTAAAACTCCTCTCGATCACCCCCTCCACCGCCGCCGCGAGGACCTTGATTCCACTGGCGATTATTCCTTGGAAATCCTTGTTAAGGATATTTATGTTAATTATGTTAATAATATATCAAAGGGATACGCATGATTTGGAGACTGGTGGAGCTGTGCACATCATGGAGAAATTATAGGAGTTTACTTTGTAAATATATGCACTGCTTTGTTTCCCTAGCCAAATTATGAAGATGAATAATATCATCTTTATCAACATAAGACAATTCCGGGACATTAGCGGAAGGAAGGGCGTGCTTGGTCTCCTGAAAAGGAAAAACATCTTCACAAAAAATGACATCACGAGATACAATAAATTTTCCGGTGTCACGACAATATACACGCCACCCTTTCTTGCCAAAAGGGTAGCCAATAAAAACTCCCGATTGGCTACGAGACGAGAACTTGTCACCGTGACGATCTTGATTATGGATGTAACAAAGACAACGAAGTACTCGGATGTGAGACATCATGGGTGCACTACCAAACATGATCTCGTAGGGTGTTTTGCCATTCAGTAGCATAGATGGAGTGCGATTGATGAGATGCGCTGCAGCAAGAATACATTCACCCCAAAATTCAATCCGCAAAAATCCTTAAAAACAAAGAGCGCGAGCAACATTTAAAATATGTTGATGTTTACGCTCGACACGTCCATTTTGCTGAGGTGTGGCCCTACACGAACATTCATGTAAAATTCCTTGCTCACGAAAATATGAATCAAGGGCACTCAAATTCTGTGCCATTGTCAATACGGACCGTTTTTATTTTAGCATCAAACTGACGAATAACCATAGCACAAACTGACGGAAAACCATAGAAACCTCAGATTTAGCACGCAACAGATATACCCAAGTGCCACGAGAAAAATCATCGACAATGGTAAGGAAAGACTTAAAACCTTCCATACTCGATGTTCGATAGGGACTCCAAACATCAATATGAACAAGCTGAAACAAATGTGTTGTTTTTATTCTTACTCAACGGAAAGCTAGCCCGAAACTCCACCGGGATTTTTCTTAGTCAGCGAAAGTATGCACTAGACATTATTGCAGACACCGGCTTACTTGGATGCCGTCCGTTGGGTGCTCCCATGGAACAAAATCACAAGCTTGCTCTCTCTCTAGCCCGCTCTTCGATGCCCCAAGTGCCTACCATCGCCTGGTTGGTCGTTTGGTGTACTTGTCTGTTACTCGTCCGGATCTCTCTTATGCAATACATACTTTGGCTCAATTTCTCCAGGAACCAAGAACCGATAACTGGAATGCCGCATTGGGGGTTGTTCGTTATCTTAAAGGCACTCCCGGTCATGGTATTCTTTTACGTAGCGACAACTCTCTTGAGTTGACGGGATGGTGTGATTCGGATTGGGCTGCTTGGCCCCTAACTCGTCGCTCTCTTACTGGTTGGTTTGTTCAGCTAAGAGTCTCTCCTATTTCTTGAAAAACCAAGAAACAACCAACAGTGGCTCGTTCATCTGCTTAGGCTGAATACCGTTCCATGACGGTTCTTACATGTGAGCATAAGTGGCTATAGGGGCTGCTGCGTTCTCTCGGCATTCATTCTTCTTCTCCGATGCAAATTTTTTGTGATAGTACAGCCGCTCTTCACATCGCGGCGAATCCCGTTTTTCAGGAGCGAACAAAACACATCGAAATTGATTGTCACTTCATTCGGGACGAGTTGTTACGTGGATCAATCTGTACTTCTCATGTTTCTACACATAATCAATGTGCGGATATTCTC